GTGGAATCATTCCAACGAATGAGTGATTAACTAGTTAGACAGTATGAGGAGAGGTCATATTTGTCCAGAGGCATGCTGGTAAATGTTTGATAACTAGCTGTCTGAGGGGAATGTGGTGGGGAACCTATGCTCAAGACACTTCAATTTTTAATCTGTGTTATAAGATTTTTTCCATCACTTTAATTTCAGATAATCAACAAAATAATGCAACAAGCCCTATTTTGTAGTGTTTTGTGATTTCTAAAGTATAAATTTCTCGAAATGAAAATTTAACATTTGATTCCCTTTGGTCCTTTCTGATATCCAAGCCTGTGTTTGTCTCCAATGCAAACAACCCAATCCTTTTGCAATTATAGCCCAATAGTATTCCACTCTATACCTCACTTAATTGTGGGAAAAGTTCCTAACTTCTCACTTGGGCAATGATTTGGGGGAAATAGAGTACCTGATAGAACTTCTTTTTTTTTTTAAATAATAGGGATGTGTGATCAAAAATTTTCAGAGGCCATTGTTGTTGTCATGTCATATGAAGATTATTTGGAGGATGAGGGATGTTTATTCTGGAGAAGAAAAATTTGTGTTGGTGCTGGTGGAAGCATGATGGCTGCCTTTAAGTATCTGAAGCATTAGGCTTATTCTGTTTCTAGAGGGGGAAGGGAAGAGAAAGGAATAAGCATTTATACAGACCATTCTATGCACCAGGCACTGTGTTAAGTGCTTTACAAATATTATATCATATAATGCTCTCCAAAACTCTATGTGTTAGAATGCTGTTATTATCTCTATTTTACAATTGAGAAAACTGAGGCAAATAGAGATTTAAGTGACTATGCCCAGGGTCACAGCTAGTAAGTGTCGAAGGCTGGATTTTAATTTAGGACTTCTTGCCTCCCACTTAGGCTGTATCCACTATGCTACCTAGGTGCTTCTAGACAACTTAATTAGGCAGGAACAAAATGTAAACAGTTGCAAAGGAGGGGATTTTAGATTGATATAAATTAAAAGCTTACTAATGATTAGAATGACCCTCAAGGTAAAATATTCCACCTTGGGAATCAGTGAGTTCCATTTCATTAGATACCTTCAGGTGGTGGCTAGATAACAAGTTGTCAGAGATATTGTCAAGAGAAAGGGAAGGGTACTGATTTAGATACAATTAAGAGGACCTCCGAGGCACATTCCAGCTCAGACAGTCTGTTGTGTGTGTGTGTGTGTGTGTGTGTTGTGTGTGTGTGTGTGTGAGATTTGGGGTTGAGTGGCTTGCCTAGAGTCACACAGCTAATAAGTATTAGGTGTCTGAGGCTGGATTTGAATTCAGGTCCTCCTAACTCCAGAGCTGTTGCTCTATCCACTGTGCCACCTAGCTGCCCTGGTCTGTTATTTCTATATCACATGGCTAATTGGAATGGAAATGTATTAAAAATCTCCCTTTCAGTTTTACCTCAGGACTTTGTTTTTTATTTTTTTAATGAATTTTTAATATAAATTTATTTTCAGGTTTCAATATTCACTTCCACAAGATTCCGAGTTCCAAATTTTCACCCCATCTCACCCCTCCCCCCACCCCAAGATGGCATGCATTCTGAATATCCCCTCCCCTAGTCTGTCCTCTCTTCTATCTCTTCCCCCTTCTCTTATCCCCTTCCCCTTCTATTTTCCTGTAGGGCAGGACAGATTTCTGTACCCCATTTCCTATATTTCTTATTTCCCAGTAGCATGTGAAAACATTTTTTTAAACATATGTTTTTAAAACTTTAGGTTTCAAATCTTCTCCCTTCCTCCCTGCCCACCCACCCTCATTGAAAAGGCAAGCAACTCAATATAGGTTATACATGTGCAGTTATGCAAAACACTTCCATAGTAGACATGTTGTGAAAAACTAACTCTATTTCCCTTAATCCTATCCTGCCCTCCCATTTATTCTATTCTTTCTTTTGACCCTGTCCCTCCTCAGAAGTATTTGCTTCTGATTACCCCCTTTCCCAATCTGCCCTTGTTTTTATCATCCCCCTGCTCTCTTGTCCCCTTCTTCCCCTATTTTCCCTTAGGGTAAGACAGATTTCCTTACCCAATTGAATGTGTATGTTATTCCCTCCTTAAGCCAAATCCTATGAGAATAAGATTCACTCATTCCCTCTCACCTTCCCCATTTCCCCTCACTGTAAGAGATTTTCTTTTCTTTTTTGTGAGATAATTTACCCCATTCTACCTCTCCCTTTCTTCTTCTCCAAATATAATCCTCTCTCATCCCTTAATTTTATTCTCCAGATATGACCCCTTAATCTTCAACTCACCCTGTGCCCTCTATCTATCTATCTATCTATCTATCTATCTATCTATCTATCTATCTATCTACCTATACATACTATAATTTTTTTCCTCCAACTACCTAATACTGACAAAGGTCTCATGAGTTATAAATATCATCTTTCCATGCAGGAATGTAAACAGTTCAACCTTAATAAGTCTCTTATGATTTCTCTTTCCTGTTTACCTCTTCATGTTCCACTTGAGTCTTGTATTTGAAAGTCAAATTTTCTATTCAGCTCTGGTCTTTTCATCAAGAATGCTTGAAAGTCCTCTATTTCACTGAATGACCATTTTTTCCCCTGAAGGATTATACTCAGTTTTGCTGGGTAGGTGATTCTTGGTTGTAATCCTATCTCCTTTGCCCTCCAGAATATTATATTCCATGCCCTGTGGTCTTTTAATGTAGAAGCTGCTAAATCTTGTGTTATCCTGATTGTGTTTCCACAGTACTTGAATTGTTTCTTTCTGGCAGCTTGTAATATTTTCTCCTTGACCTGGGAACTCTGGAATTTGGCTACAATATTCCTAGGAGTTTTCCTTTGGGGATCTCTTTCAGGAGGAGATGTGGATTCTTTCAATTTCTATTTTGCCCTCTGGTTCTATATATCAGGGCAGTTTTCCTTGATAATTTCTTGAAAGATGATGTCTAGGCTCTTTTTTGATCATGGCTTTCAGATAGTCCAATAATTTTTAAATTCTCTCTCCTGGATCTATTTTCCAGGTCAGTTGTTTTTCCAATGAGATATTTCACATTGTTTCTAATTTTTCATTCTTTTGGATTTGTTTTACAGTGTCTTGATTTCTCATAAAGTCACTAGCTTCCAATTGCTCTATTCTAATTTTTAAGGAAGTTTTCTTCAGTAATCTTTTGGACTTCCTTTTCCATTTGGCCAATTTTTCTTTTTAGGGCATTTTTCTCCTCATTGGCTTTTTGGACCTCTTTTGCCATTTGGGTTAGGCTATTTTTTAAGTTGTTTTCTTCAGCATTTTTTTGAGTCTCCTTTAGCAAGCAGTTGACTTGTTTTTCATGGTTTTCTTGCATCACTCTCATTTCTCTTCCCAGTTTTTCCTCTACTTCTCTTACTTGCTTCTCAAAATCCCTTTTGAGCTCTTCCAAGGCCTGGGACTGATTCATATTTTTCTTGGAGGCTTTGGATGTAGGAGCTCTGACTTTTTTGTCTTCTTCTGGTTGTATATTTTGATCTTTTTCATCAAAGTAAGATAATAGAGTCTGACTCTTTTTGCACTGTTTGGTCATGTTCCTAGCCAATTACTTGAGTTTTAAACTCTTTGTTAAGATAAGAGTCTGCTTCCAATGTGGAGAATGTACTGTCCCAAGCTTTGGGGGTTTGTATAGCTGTTTTCAGACATACTTGCAGGGACCCGTAAATTTTCAGTTCTTGCAAGGTGGTATGATAAGGGGCGAGGTGTTTACTCCTTTCCTGTCCTATGCTGTGGTCTATTAGTGACCACAAGCACCCCTTTCTGTCCTGGAACTGTGAGGAAGGTTTCTTGTCCACAGCCATTACAAGGTCTACCATGCCAGTGCTCCTCCTCACCCCAGGACCCCCACCCAGAACTGTGACCCAGATCTAAGCACAGGCAAAGCAAGAGATTCCTGCCTCAGCACTGGCAAAGAGATCCCTGCAATCCCCCTCTGATTAGCCACTCAATTACCCCTCAGTCTGTGGGCTGGAAGCTAGGGAAGCAGCTGCCCATCCCATGGCCGTGCTTTTGCGGAATGGAGCTGAGACCCTGCCTTCCTCTCTCAGTACCACAGAAACAGACTTTTCCCACTGACCTTCTAAATTATCTTTGCATTTGTAGATTGAGGAGTCTGGAAGCCTCCACAGCTGCCTGCGATTCAGTCCTCTGAGGCCTGCTCCAGGTTTGCTGTGGCCTGTGTGCCTATGCCACACTGCGCTCCACTCACAGCCTGGCACAATATACCTTTCTGATCAATCATCCAGGTTGTCTTGGGCTGGAAATTTGTTTCACTCTGTCTTTTTGTGGGTTCTGCTGCCTTAGAATTTGTTTAGAGCCATTTTTATAGGTATTTGGGGGGGTTTGGGGGAGAGCTCAAGCAAGTTGCTGCTTTCACTCTGCCATCTTGGCTCCGCCTTACTTTAGGACTTTAGGTCCCAAATGGTCCAGAAGGATAGTATTTTATGATATCAGGTCCTTGTTCAAGATACCTATAAAAGTTAGCAGAAAATTTCTTGGGGACAGAGAGTCATGGCAGAGTGACAGAGGGACCATTCCAGTATAGACATCTCTCTCACCAAAGTAGACCTATGGCATTAGATCTAGGATAAATTAAATAAAATTGTTTCTCCAAGGCTTGAGCCTAAATCACAGCATGAAATGTTAATACTATTTTCCCCCTTAACACTGGCATAACTAAATTTTTTCATTTCCTTACATAATTTACCAGATATTGCCTAGTTTCACTTATTTGTCTTATTGAAATACAAGTGCTACTTATTTCTTTAAGGAAACTCTAAAAATTGTATCTCATAAGGTTTGATATTATTATTGCAATCTTGCTCCTATTGAATACACCCTCTTTCATGAGTACACTTAACATTGAAATGGGATATTTCAGGTATCATTGGAAAGCTTTAGCTTAATTATAATATCTCTATTCTACACAATATGCTAAGTGTTGCATTTTTTTTTTGTTTCCGCAGTAAAACCAACAGTTATTGATGTTGACATTTACGTTAACAGCATTGGACCTGTGTCATCAATAAATATGGTAAGTGACATGTTATTTTTTTTAACTTTCTTACCTGCTTCTGTTTGTGACAGTCTCTACTTTTCAAAATGTGATAAATGTCTTGAGAAAAAGGAAAAAAAAGATGCTTTTGTTAGTGTTGTGTAATGTTGTTTATTTATCCTACTACTGTAAAAATTACTATTCCTTTCTTGAAACATACGTAGGTGGAAAGTACTATTTGATAATTATGGTAGTAGGCTGAATATTAAAAATAGTTGAATGCTGTGAAAGCAAAGCTGGGGATGAAGAAGATCCTGTGTATTTCTAAAAGCTTGTCCTTAATGTTTGTCTGCTAAGTAAATGATATAATTATGAGGGGCTTTTTTCCAACACTATAGCTGCATATTTTTCTACTAAGTGAATGAGTGTTTCCCAATTTATTTTTGAATAATTAAATAGTTTTCTATTAAACTATATTTTATATTGTTCTATTAAGTAACATGAGATGATTAATAATTCCTAGATCATTTGTTATATTTGACTTCTTAATTTCTTGGTCCAAGAATTATATTGACTCATATTGTAGCTTCCTAGCATGTTCTAGTTATGATCTAGAGGGACATAGTTGGATTTTTCCAGTAGTCAGTCATGTGTCAGTCTTCATTCTGTCTCTGATATAGCAGGGGAAGGAGTTATGTGATATCCCACAGTAGGCTATTCCCATAGACTTACAAACACAAGATCTAACAATCATTTTCTATTGGTTGTGATGGAGTTGACATAAAGTAAAATTTTTTGTCCTCTAATCTCTTTTGCTCTTAAGGAAACATGTAGTTTTGAGAATTTAATGTGAATTTGAATGTATCATTTGGCATATGTACAGATTGGATATTGGTATCTCCTTGGATATGGTTACAGCTATATTCTCTTGAAATAGATAATTGTATTTGCATACCCAGTTGTTGACTTGGACTCACGTGAACCCTATGGTTTCTTTGTGGCCACTATTGAGAACTTTTTCTAAGAAATGCAATGGATTGAGGAATGGAAATTGTCAACATATTGACTTTTCACTGCATTACCAGTGTCATTCAACTGAAAGGAAATATGCTTTTCTCTGATAGTAAATATAAATTCCCCCTCTCAGTAGTCAAATAGTTCCTTCAGGAAAACTCTTTCATAGGGAAAATGACATGAAGTTCAACACTGCAGTTTTTTTTTGTTTCATCCTGATTCATATTGGTACATATTTGTATTGTAATAGCAAATGTGACACATGGGTAAAATCCTCTAAATAACCTAAGATGTCAATAGAAAAGACATGTTATAATCACAAAAGATATACTTCTCTTTATATTATAGCAGATATTTCCTTTTAAGAACTGTGTGTAAACATTAAAGAATTTAAAGGAAAAATATTTTGAAATATTTTGTAAAGTGAATGACTGTTTCCCAATTTATTTTTGAATAATTAAATAGTTTAATATCCTGGGCTTAGGCAACTTTGATGATCCCTGTATTTAGAAAGTATTAGCAAGACTGTTTCTATAAAAAGGAAAGATTGTCCTATAGCTTTCTTATTCCTTAGTGGTATATCATGACTGTCTCTTATTTGGGAGTACCATGATCTGAGAAAAACAGAAGCAACATTTTAAAGGTTTGTTGTTGTTTTTTTTAATTTGGTGAAACCTTAGTTAACCAAACTCCAACTAATCTGATCCCTGAAACAAAGAGATTTTCCCCTTGGGTTAAACTTTTAGCAGAAAGAAATTACTGATGGCTTTATGATAAAAAATTGTTCAAATAAAAAAATACTCTCAAGATTTCCTTTATGTCAATATAAATTTATTCAATCTCCTTTACCCTATAGATTTTTATCTGTAATACTGCACAATGATAAGTGGTTATTGGAGCATTGATCTCAAAGCACTGCAAATTTTTGAATCATCAGATTAAGTGATCTTTATTGGTATAATACATATATATACACACACATACACACACATATATACATGTATATACATGTGTATACATATATACATATTCATATACGAAGACAAAAAATAAAAGAAATAATCTCTGCCTACAAAGAGTTTGCCTTCTGTTGGGAGATACAACTAAACTAAGTGTGTTAGCTTGATGGTTCCTTGATCAGTTTCAAATTATAAGGTGCTGGAAATAATTTACATGAATAACATAGAAGATTAGCAATGTTTATTAATGGATACATGAGATCAGGTAGAAATAGGCAGCTATGACATCTGTTAGCTTTGAAGTAAGTGTCAGCTCCATTTCTTAGTGCAGTCAACCCCCAAGTCTTTTTTGGTATATTTCAGGCCTTGATAACCAAAAATATTGTAAGTAAGATATTGTTCTATCACTGATCCAGTAAAATGTGCCCCTGCTACATGATGATTTTACCCTTTTAAAGATGAATTAGAAATCAGCATCATAAATTCACATTGAGAATGGGCCTTACAGATGTCAAGCTTTGGGGCTAGTGGGTGTATGTAGCTTACTGTGGAATATTTAAGAAAATAAGCAAAAATACAGTACTATATATAAAACTGATTTGTAGTTTTGTGAGTCAGTATGGAGCCAGCAGGCATACATTTCTACCTGAGTTTGACACCACTCATATAACATAACTCTATTATTTTATAAATGAGGAAACTGAGACCTGATAAGGTTAAATGAATTGCCCATGGTCATACACATAGTAAGTGGCAAATATTGAATTTGTACCCTGGACCTCTGGCACTAAATTTAATACTCTTTCCTGTGCCAAATATTGAGCAGCAGGCTTATTTGTAGAGCACTGTATGGTACAGACTCCTATAATATGAATCTGTGATCTTGAGAAAGTCACTTAATGTCTTTCAGTCTCAGTTGGAATAGAGGAACTCTGAGATCCCTTCTACCACAAAATCTATGATTTTATGATCATATGATTTATAATTTGGGTTTTTATTTCTTATAGCTCATATGTCTTTGGGAAATCATTTGACCCCCCCCCAGACTACTTGTCATGACTTTATCAAAAGATAGGATTTAGAAATGAAAATAATGCTTCAAGCCCTAGAGTCTCCAAGTGTGCCAGGTTTGACTTAATGAAAAAAAGAAAAGTATGAAATGTTCATTTCCCATAAAAGCAATGATTCACACATTCACATGTATAACTTCATGAATGTGTGTGTGTGTGTGTATGTTGATTTCAGGTTTTCTGTATTATGGATGTCCACTCAAATGTGTTTGAATATTATTTAGAAGGTATCAGTTGGCTACATAAAATAGTTCAGAGGTCTTTCTCATTACTTTGGACATGGTAGGTGCTATGTGAATATCTATTGACTGATTGAGCTTTACATTTTGTTTTTTTCCTAGATAACAATTGTGATGGCTAAGCATTTGTTGGCTATCCCCTAGACAGGTCAATTATTTCTGGTCATGGTATATAGTAGTATTTTCTAGGACTGACCACAATGTTTACTTGTCCCTTTATCAGTGTCTAGGACTTGTTATGAAACATTTCCCCCATTGCGGTTTAGTGAATAGTGCTAGATTTAGTGCTTATTCTTAAGACATATGACTGGACAAATCACAGTCTCTCTGGGCATGTTTTTACGCCTGTAAAATGAGAGGAGACATTAGATTAGATGACATCTTAGATCCTTTCTAGCTTTATCTCTGGAAACCTATGATCCTATTCTTTGACATGCACATTGAATCAAGATAACATTTCTAAGAAAGGCAGGTAGAATGGAGATAAGTTGAATATGGAAACATTGAATCTTCATTTCCCATTTGAAGATAAAGTGCAGTATTTCTGCTTTAGAAAAAGAGGTGTCGATAAATATTCTGACAGCTTTCATGCCAAAAATAAAAAGGGAAGCAATGTAAGCTCTGCTAAAGGGCATGTCTTAAATGTAAAACTATGGAATTTTAAACTTCAGCCATATGTCAACTTTTCTTTGTTTCTCTAGTGTCTCTGGGGAAAAGCTCCTGAAAACTACTTTCTGCCATTTTATTACAAAACACCTTAAAGTTTTTTTTAACATGTAAGATGTAACATTCTTGTATGTCATGAAAATACATGACTTTTTCATTCATTTAATAACATTGAAACACCTGTAACAACAATAACAACGATGATTGTCCTTTGGTGGCAAAAGTTGTGCACACTCATTTTCTTACATTTTGAGTAACTTTTTTCTTTTGCTTTCTTATCTTGAACTTCTTTTTTATTATTTAAAGGCATTTTTCAATACATTGCTGTGTAAAGGTCATTATATATTTCTGACTTTTTACTTAGTTATATGAGATCTATGATATCACTGCTATAACTATTCTTGTAGCTGATGTGATTGCTACCTCTCTATATTACCATGACTTTTCATCCTGTTATTCTTGTCCATGTCTTCTTCTGCATCTTAGTGGATCCATCCAACATTTTAAAAACATTTCTCTAATGCTTCTTATATCTCATCAGTACCATTAGTATTTGGGTTGCCTATCTGTTGTCTTTAATTCTTGCTGCATGACCAGTCTACCTCCATTTTTAACTTTAGATTCCCTTATTGATACATTTTATAAATTTTTCCATGAAAAGAATAATTGGTAATGTGCTACAATCTACTTACATGCACCATATTACTTTCCATTATTTCTTTAGTTAGTCATAATTTTTTATTCATTTGCATATCATGGTATCTCATGGTTCATAGCTGCAAAGCATTATTTGGAGAATATTGGCATAAAAGAGATAAATTATCATAGCCACAAGCACTTCTATCACCAAGCACACTATACAATTTCTTAAATGAGAGTCAGCCTGATTGACTCCTGAGCTCTAATTCCAAGACATTTTTCCATCTGTAGCATCTGTCAAAGATCTGCATATTAATGGACTGAGTCAACACTGCACAGCCAGTTGCGTGCCACAATCTGGACAATCTACATTTATCCTCTACATTATTTTGTTGAGACTTAGCATAAAATATATTTCATGACTCTATAATGTCTATTAAATGAAATATTTT